ATTCTGTCCACTCTCCTGCATTTAAATGCTCTCTCCATGCTGATGGCTCCCATATTTTTATCTCAGGCTAGGTGGTAGATCAGATTATCCTACTTAACATCTCCACTTCGAGTCTATCAGGCACCTCAAACTTAGTGGTGCCCCAACAAAAATATCTTGCCCACCTCCCTCTCCCAATCTTTGTATCAGCGAACAGCAGCACCATCTACTCAACTGAACAAGTCAGAAACCTCGGAGTTCTTGATACTTCTCCCCACCCCACAGCAGCCCTGCCCATTCTACTCCTAATGAGTATCTCACACCCACCCACTCCTCTCCATGCACCTCCTTCGCCTCCTCCTCAGCCTGCCTCTTTACTGTGTTCTGCCTTTCTCTGCTTTCTTCTCCACCAATGCAATCTTCTTTAACATGAGTTAGGGGCTGTTGCTTCCCACTCTAAACTTTCTTTTGTTTGTTTGGTTTTTTGTTGTTGTTTTTGAGATGAAGTCTCGTTCTGTCACCTAGGCTGGAGTGCAGTGGCGTGATCTCCACTCACTGCAACCTCCGCCTCCTGGGCTCAAGTGATTCTCCTGCCTCAGCCTCCCAAGGAGCTGGGATCACAGGCGCCCGCCACCACACAGTCTAATTTTCGTATTTTTAGTAAAGACAGGGTTTCACCATGTTGGCCATGCTGGTCTGGAACTCCTGACCTCAGGCTATCTGCCCCCCTCGGCCTCCCAGAGTGCTAGGATTACAGGTGTGAGCCACTGTGCCCAACCCCACTCCAAACTTTCAGTGGCTTCCCACTACACTTCAAATGAAATATAAACCTTTTCAAAACCCAGAGAGCCCCGCACAATCATCTCATGCAACCCTCTCTCCTTCATCCTTGACCACCTGTGCCTCAAAACCAAAGTTTTTTGGCAAAACCAATACCCCAACAGCTCAGCATATGCTACCCCATGCCAACTCATTGTCTTCCATGACGAAAAACCAAGAATCATCTGTTTCTTCAGTAAACCAAATTACTACAAGCAGCTACTCTGAGAACTTAAAATTCTTAGAAAATACCACAGAGGCTTTTTGTTGTGTGTTTTCTTTAGCCCAGAAGAAAAGATTTATTAAGAGAGCCCTGGGGTCAAACTTATGTTACTGAGACTATACTATTCCTTAAAAATGCCCACAGCACCCTTGCGGCAACGCACGCCAGTAACTAGAATCCAGTTGTTCTTGTCCTCCTCTCTCCACAAAAGAAATCAACTATATGTTAGTTCTCCTTTATTTTATTGGTTTCCCTCCAACATGCAAATTCAGAAATATCATTAATCCACAAGATCCCAGATGATTTTAATCCTCCCGCCTCCCTCAGCCACACAGTTTTATGAGGTCAGAAATAAAATAAGCTGAATTCAACTGCCTTTAGAGTAGGACCACGAGCACCCACTTATACCACCTGGGTATGAGCCACTTGCCTAGATCCTTACTTTTCTTTTTTTGTTGTTTGTTTTTGTTTTTGTTTTTTTGAGACAGAGTCTTACTCTGTCACCCAGGCTGGAGTGCAATGGCATGATCTCGGCTCACTGCAACCTCTGCCTCCCATGTTCAAGCGCTTCTCATGCCTCAGTCTCCCAAGTGGCTGGGATTACAGACACCCACCATCATGCCCGGCTAATTTTTGCATTTTTGTACAGACAGGGTTTCACCATGTTGGCCAGGTGATCCGCCTGCCTCAGCCTCCCAAAGTGCTGGGATTACAGGCATGAGCCACCATGCCCAGCCCTAAATCCTTACTTTCCATGTCAATGTCCAAAATCAATAAAAACATCAAGAGCTTCTCCCAAAAATGCCCACAGTGAAATACAGAGAATCCTGGTGATAAAAAATGATACTACATCATTATTATGAACCTTATCACAAATATTCAGCCAAATCCCAATTACCCACAGAAAGCAGGCAAAGGCACACTGGGCTTTCTGGTCTCCTGCTTATCCCCAAAGCTACCTCCTCCTGCTGCCTAGGAATAAGAACTCAGTTAACCTTAGACTTGACGTTAGACAAGTTAACCAGCTGGCTGGAGAAGAAACTTCTAAGATGAACAGAAATTATTTTTGGTGCCAAGGATATATACATGCTGTACTCTCCGTTAGTGCATAGAATTGGGATTTTTTTTGGTCCAAGACACTGGCATTGTTTTTTTTTTTTTTTGACTGGCATTGTCAAAAATACTTTATTCACAACTATTTCCTTGTGTTTGATGGTCAAGATCACCAGGCCACTCAAGAATCCTTTCTGGAATACCAAGGATCAAATCCACTTTCTCCATGAAAAGACAAAAACAGAAGTTAGTCAGCTCACCCAAGTCCATGAAGCAATTGGCCGTTGGCTCAGGAAGAGACTGTCAAGACCTCTGGAGACCTCGCTTACAAGACACAGAATTTCAGAGCCGGAAGGGAACTCACGGATCAAACCACGCACTTTTAAGATAAAAAAATCCAAAGCCCAGAAATGGCTAGAAATTGGTACTTTCCCCACCTTTCCTTCCAGTGATGTTTCCCCAGTCTTGAGCATGAACCACGTTTAAGTTCTTTGTCACTTTCCAAATACTGTAAACTTGAGCCAACTACTGAACACAAGACAATTTTAACATTTCCTGGCTAATCAACTTCAAGGAGAATCCTTACATTTGCCAAAAACAAAAAACAAACAAACAAACAAACAAACAAACAAAACGCTTTCGGTTATTATGACCAACCCACCCATTAAAGAAGGAGAAAAAGAAAATTATAAACAAGCTTTATTTTTTGTGGCCACACATTTTATTATATAAGCAGCAAAAAACACTATAGTCTGTCTCCTCTTTTACACTTTAAGTTCCTAACTCAACAAAAACCACAGGCCCAAGCCGGTTAAAGGAGGCAAAACTGAGTACTTTCCACACAGTTCATAGAACAACTGTTTTCACAGCAAGCTCACATAAATGCTATGTGATAATAACACATGCCTGCTATGTGGAAGCCTGCTTACCAAGCTGTGAAAAGACCCATGTTTACTATGGAACCTGCAAAATTAATCTTCTCCTACAGCAGAAGGGAAACGCTCTTTTTGGGATGTCAAGCTGGCTTCTAAACAATCCTTTGGCGAAAACGGACATGCCTAAAAGGGCGGAGCCCAGAGAGGTGTGTCACTCTGGGTATCAATTCCTATAAATCAGATCCTGACAATCACCACAATATTTTAAAAAGAATGAATTATGATTCATGGGCCTTCAAACCTTTATTACCACAAGAACATTCTCGGTAGAAGAGAAAAAAAAAACCTACTGTGACGTGATTAATGGCCAAAGCAAGACAATAAAATAAATCTCATAAATATAAGGAAAAAACCTGAATGACTGCTCTTGGCTCTGAGGGTAGGCATGTAAATAATTCCACCCTGAAATGAACATACATAAAGATTTTGTTTACCCTCCCAGCAAATACAACAACCAGACTCAGATTTTCATCAGGTAAAAATAATAGCTAATTTGTTTAACTAATGCCTAGTTAGGAACATTTGATAAGCAGCAATAATATTTAATTCCCAACTAACTCAACTCTCAAACTGCCAAGTATCAACCCTCAATCTGGAAATCTGACGACAGTTAGGAAAGAAAAAAAGCACTCTCCATCAGCAATGTGTAGCGAGTTTTTTAAAACCCATTTTTCTCGACCCTGCTAGAACAGAGCCTGTCTACAGAATTGCAGAAAGCTTAACCAACCTTAGTTAACCCCACTGCCTAGTGGCTACTCCCTAACCCTACTAAACGTCTCTGGGTTGGACCTCAGATGCTAAAATTATCCTAGTAAAGTTAAAACTCCCAGCATCATCAAGGTAGCTGACAGCCAAGACCTACAACTCTTCTGCAGACACCAGTAGGCTGAGGACCAAGAAAACAGAGGGAAGGAGAGGCAAAGGCTGCTGGTTAACTAGTTAAGCGCTGAGGACTCCTACTGTTATCCTCTCCAGTCAGTGAGCATCAACACCACACTTCCTATAGCCAAACTCCTTTCTTAAAAGGGTCAGTGATGCAGAAGGTGGGTGCTAACTGGGACACCTTAAAACTCCCCTTCTTAAAGCTCTCCTCCGTGACCTGCTGAAAAGTGCACCTGGACCGGTTTTCGGGAGACACTTTTTAATGAACTCTTTAGCCACTCCCGGGCAGTCATTCCTAAGCACGACTTCCACACACTTCACAAGACAGCCCAGGCCACGCTGACTTGAAGACACCCCCTTCAGCACGGGCAGTTGCCAAAGCTGCCTCCAGTCTGGGGAAGAGTTTCCACAAAGCTGGCTCTAACAGGCCAGTGGAAGGCACACGGAGGAACCAGAAAGCGTTTTCTTGTAAGCTAAGGATGGCAGGCGCACATGCTCCAGTCCAGTGCTGGCCAGAGGCTGCCTGCCAGGTGCTCTCGGCCTCCGCCAGTGAATGAGTGGTTTGGTTTGGTTTTTAATATCTGTTTCTTAAGACCACCGGCAGTAACTTCCCAGTCTCCCAAAATGAAGTTGGGGAATGAAGGAACAGGTTTACCCCCTTACACACTGCTCCCATCTGGGTGGCCACACTAACTTCTGGGGAGTACCCAGCCCCCACAGAGCTTGCAGGCGCGTATACATACACATATGCATCATGTCAAAAACCCCAAAAGGCAGAGTCCTGCGGTTTCTGAGCTGGAGAATGAAGCCTTTATAACATCACAATCTCAAATGCAAGCCCACCATCACTACCTTTAAGCCAGGGTTGCCAGTTATAGCGCCCATCTCATCCCTCCCCCTTTGCTGGGATGCTGTGCAGCCCAGAGAGGGGAGAGGGAAGAAGGGAAGAAGGGAGAAGGCCCTGCTTGCATAGTGAAAGTAAAGGGGGGGAGACTTCTCCTTCTCCGTCTCCCCACTCTTCCCTCCCCACTCCGCCCCACCCCCGTCTTCTCGAGGAGCATCCCCAAACTAATTTTTTAAAAATGAAACTTAATAAGCTTCTTGCCTACCTTGGCTGTTTCTGCAACAAGTGCATGGGCAATCCGACGAGAAGACCAGTCTCCGCTTGGGGGGTGAGATGGGGGCGAGCAGAGCTGATGGAGTAATTTCAATATTAATTTATGTCAGCCGCCTTCTCTCAGCGCTACTCACTTACAGTACTGCCCTCAGCCTGTAAACAAATATCGCTCCGCCAGGAAACATACTCCCCAGATGCAAGCCCCTCTCCCCAGCAGGGAACCTGGCCCCTCGCCCCGCCGCAAGAGTGTGCTCCCCCACCCGGGGTAGGAAGCTTTGGGTTTCCAAAGCACCAACCCACCACCTCCTCCACCACCCCAGCAAGAAACTTACTCGGTCCGTCTACGCCTCCACCCTCCCTTCAGGAAATCTACTCTCCATATGCATTCAGCCTCCCCGCAGGAAATCTGCTCCCCCCTCCCCCCTTCTATATACATGCACCCCTCCCTCTCCTCCTCCCCATGCGCCCTCCCCGGCCAGAAACTTACTAGTGAGCAAGCGTGCAGGCTCTCCTGATGCTGGAAACTTACTCCCAGATATAGCGCCCGCCAGCCCCCTTTCCCAGCCCTGTTCCCCTTCCTGCCCTCCGCCGCAAGCAACTCCAAACTCTCCGCATCCAGCCGTTCTCCCTCCCCGGTGGAAATTTGCAGCGCCGGGCTGCGCGCGTGCATCCACCCTCCCCTTCAGGAAACTTACTCCCCATCTGCATGCACCGCCTCTCAGCCATCGCTTAGAGGGAAGGGGGTGTGCTGGGGAGACAGAAATACATATGTATCTCTCGCCCCTCCCCCGGCCGCAGCCCACTCGGGGCCGAGCCGCGGTAACCTGGCCTTACCTTTGCATTGCTCCCCATCCTCGCCCCCTCCCTTAACCCTCCTTATCCGCTCCCCGGTACCCCCCTTTTTTCACCCATTACCCACCCCTAGCAACCGTTCCCAAGCTCCTCTCGGCCTTTTTTTTTTTTTTTTAAATCCAGGATGCAAATTCCTCCCCTGTCAGCAAATCGACTGTCAAATTATTTTCTTGCAAAAGGAGAAAGGCGGGGTGGGGGGGGGAGCAGGAGCAAAAAGGGGGGAGGGCGGGGGAAGGGAGGGAGAGGGACCGAGGAGGGGAGAGATATCCCTCCGCAGAGCTGGGTCTGGCCGCGGGCGGGGAAGCAGGAAGTAAGGTGTCCAGCGCAGCGGCCGGCTGGTCCTCCGCCGCGGCCCCCGCCCGCGTCCCCTTTCCCCCTGGGCGCAGCGCTCCGGCTGGCGCGGGCCGCCCGGCGCATTGTTTGCAGCCTGCACGGCGGTGCGCTGCTGACTTTATTTGTGCGCTTTGCGTGTGCGTGAGGTTGCACCTTTTGTAGGCTGGCGAGTCTCTGGACGAGGATGGGACGGGGGACACGGGCCCAGTTGCGGCCCTGCGCGAGCGGGACCTGTCAGCCCCGAGGTGCAGCGGACCCTCCGGCGTGGCCGGAAAATCGAGGCCGGGGAGAAGGCAGCGTGGCCGGGAAGCTGCCGCCTTAAACCAGACCAGTGCAGGATTGCTTCCTGCGTAGCCGTCCCGGTTATTGTAACGCGCTTTGCAAGCTAAAGACTGGGGTTTGGGAGGGGGTTTGTTTATTTTTCTAAGGGTCTGCAAAGATGCCGAGGTCGAGGCGGGCTGCGAGGAGACGGTCCGCGCCTACCCCCACCGCACCCTGGCCTCGGTGGGGCTGGGAGAGGGCTGGGGCTCCGGAGAAGGGGCTGGAGGTTCGCGAAGCGCGCGTCTCCATCCCTCCGCCCCGATGGGGGCGGGGAAGGGGTGCAGTAGACCGCGCTGGAAGAGCAGCTCTCTGGGGAGGGGTCTCCATCGCCGCGGCGGGCGAGGCAGGCCAGGGAGGGAGGTTGCCTAGGAGAGGGGCCGGGCGGCGGAGGGGAGGGGAGGAGAGGGGGCGCGGGTGCCGCCGCCGCGCGCGCTCGCCCCTCCTCGCGCGCCATGACTGTGGAACGTGGTGCCGGGGAGGAGGGAAGGCCGCCGGGGGCCGCCCGGGGCTGCTCGGCATTGGTGCGGAAACCCGAGCCCGGAGTCGCTCCGTCGCTCTTGTCTCCTCCTCCTCTGCGGGGGAAACCGCTGCACCCAAACCGGGAGCAGCTGCGAGCAGGGGGCAGGGCGCGGGCTGAAAGGCGAGCCAAAGGTTCAAACCTTGGCGGTGCGGGCGGGGGATGGAGGGCAACAGCAGGACTGCCCCCAGATCCCGCGAAGGCGTGGCAGTGGTCGGCCCAGGTGCCAGGGAACCTGGCCTGATATCCTTGCATTTCCAAGCGTCTTTCCTGGTCAGTGGAAACGTGAGCCAAAGGTAGTTCAGCTAAACAGACCACCTCGAGCCGGGTTCGAGGCATCTGTCTCGAGGGCAAGACAGTATTTTTTGCACTACAGAAAGTTACACCATCCATTTTTTTTCCATGGGGGAAATCGTTGCGCCCCTTCACCCAAAATCTCACGCAAGAAGAATGACCTCCGCAACCCAGACCTTCGCCAGTGTCCCCCACCCCACCCCCACCCGGGCGCTGGGTGTGGATTGGGCGGAGGGAGGCTATATGGGAGCTTAAAGCATGAGGTCATGGGCGGAGGAGACTGCTGCCAAAAGCACCCGAGGTTTTTGTGTTTTTTGAGGGGTAACGGTTCTCCATCTTCAGCAGTGGAAAGTCCTCCCGCCTACCCTACCAATTCTGGGGCACGTGGACCAGAGAGGCCCTGAAAGAGGAGGGGACCTGGGCTATTTCGCTTAATGAGCGTTTGGCGCGTGCCCAGCCCTTTATGGAGCCCTTCCACATAAGCAAAGCTGAGGGACAGCGCACAGTGTTGGCGGCGACTGGGAAAGGCTTCAGATGCTCGACGTCCCCCGCCCTCTTTCCTCAGTCCTCGGTCATCTTCCAAGTGGGCTGCTTTCTGCGATAGCTTCCTGTCCCCCTCCGACCCATTCCTCCCAAGCGACTAGAGGGAGTCTTCCTAAAACTCCTATTGACATTCTTTTAAAGCCTTCAAAACCCTCCTCCATTGCCCTTAGAATAAAGCCAAGTTGTGATTTCGCCTCTACAGACCTCTCCACCCGGACAGCTCTTCCTCGGATGTTGTAAGCCCCGTCGAGCTTTCTTTGTTCGAGGGGTGGAGGAAGGGGAGCCTAACCTTTCCCCTTCCACCTCTTCTTACTAACTCCTGCTGGACCTTCAAGATTTGACTCAACTGTCAGTAACTTCAAGATGCCTTCCTGAGGGTACACCCAGGTCTCTAACTACCTCAGGGGAATTTCGACCTACGATAGGTCTCCTGGCTGCAGCGCTGAGATGGCCCCAGTGGCGGCCTTTTTCCAAGCGGAGAAGGACCAGCCAAGCTAAGCTTGACCACCATCACCGCCCGGGGACCTGAGCGGGAGCTCAGGACAAAACCTCAAAACGAGACCTGGGAAAATCGCACCGCCCAGAAAACTCGGCCCCTCCACCTTCCACACCCAGCACACACACACACACCCTTTTAATCTAAAACTCCTCCCCGAGGCAGATAAGGAACCTATTCGGGAGAGTAAGTTAGTTGCCCCAGGTCAATGTGGAAATTCACAGCCTGTCTTTCCAGCTCCTAAGCCAGAAGCTGCAGAGAAGGAGGGATTTGGAATTTGCGGCTACATAGCCAAGGACGTTTTTGTCATCTTCAAAGGACCCCTTACACCCTACACTCTTGGCCCACTCTGTTCATTGCCAGCAGAGGGATAGTAATGCCAGATGGTTAGTTCTGCAGGCTCTGACCTTAGGCAAATTACTTAACCACTTGGTTCAGTTTCTTTGCCTGTAAAATGGGAATGACAGTATTCGTATCTTCAGTATAGTGTTATTGTGAGGTTTAAATGAGTTATTTTATGTAAGGCCTTAGAACAGAGTTTAAAGCAAGTTACTAATATTTGTGAATAGGGTTGTGTACCCTCCCCCCACCTTCCAAAGGACTCTGGAAAAACAGATCGCCAGAGTCCCAGAGTCTTAGCTGATTGAAGCATTAAAAAAAAAAAAAAAAAAAAAAAAAAAAAAATCTGTGGGGCCAGGCGGAGTGGCTCACACCTGTAATCCCAGCACTTAGGGCGGATGAGGCAGGCAGATCGCTTGAGCTGAGGAGTTTGAGACCAGCCTGAGCATCGTGGAGAGACCCTCTCCACGTTTATTATTAAAAAATAAAAAATTAGCCAGGCATGGTGGTGCATGCCTGTAGTCCCAGCTACTGAGGAGGCTAAGACAGGAGGATGATGGGGTTGAGGCTGCAGTGATCAGATTGCCCCACTGCACTCCAGCCTGGGTAACAGAGCAAGACTCTGTCTCAAAAAATAAAATTATAGATAGATAGATACATAGATAGATAGATAGATAGATAGATAGATAGATAGATAGATATATGGGGGGAGAGAGAGAGAGCACCTAAAGGACTGAGAAAGCATGGGCAGATGCACAGACAATGCATCCCTGATTTTACCAATAGACTTGACTCCCAACAATGCATACTCTTGAAGCCAATCCACAGGTTGAATAAACCAAGTCCATGAGCACTGGGTCTGTACTGTTTCTAAAAACAGGGTCAGAAGGATGGTGACTGAAATTAAAATATTAACTTGGATCTTTGAAATCAGAGTCAGGCTGAAAAAGTCCCAATCTTAGTTCAAAACCTGTCCTGCATGACTGAAGCCCTCCTAGGGCTGCACAAAGTATAATGGAATTACTATTATTATTATTATTATCATTAGGTCCTAGTCTTACCATTCTCAGCACTTATTCCCATAGCAAAAGATGATTTTTAAAAGTAATTTATTCTTTTGGAATAGGTTGAATGCATTCACGTGGTTCCAAATTCAAATAAACAGCAAGAAGTCTCCCTCCCACCCTGTCTGCCACCCACTTGGTTTTCCTTCTGTGGAGGCAACCTGGGTTAGTGGTCAGAAGACCCGTTTAACTGTTTTCCAGCTGAGGCCTTGTGAGAACTCCCTGGACACCAATTTTAATCTTTATGTCTAGGACTTCTTTCTCCAATCCAGGTAGAGCCACTCTCCTATCCTATCCCCACTCCCACCCTTCCCCTCTTCAGCCTCAATCCTGAGCAGGCTCTATTAACAATGATGAGCCACCATTTCCTTGAGCTACTCACAAAAGCAAATGATTAAATACTTTGTGGTTCTTTCTCCTCCTCTACATTAATTGCTAACATTTATCAAGTGCTTTCCATGTGCCACGCACTGTGCTGTATACTAGACATGCATATTCTTATTTAATCTGCCCCGAATCTTCATCATTATCCTTATTTACAGATGCAGACAGAAATGAAAGTTCAGAGAGATTGTGTAATTTGCACCAATTTGCATCCAGGCCAACCTGAACCCAAACCCTATCCTTTTTTATTTTTTTCTTTCCTTTTTTTTTTCTAAACAGGGTCTCACTCTTGTCACCCAAGATGGCATGCAGTGGCACAATCTAGGGAGGCAATCAGGGTTAGCAGTCAGCTCACCGCGGCCTCAACCTCTCAGGCTCAAGTGATCCTCCCACCTCAGCCTCCCCAGTAGCTGGGACTACAAGTGTGCACCACTACCCCCAGCTAATTTTTGTATTTTTTTGTAGAAATGAGGTTCCACCATCTTGCCCAGACTGGTTTCAAACTCCTGGACTCAAGCGATCTGTCTGCCTCGGCCTCAAAAAGTGCTGGGATTACACCCATGAGCCGCCACACCCAGACCCTGTCTCTTAAATAGTGGCCTTTTTGCCTCTCTGCAACACAGGAAAAATTCTGGTAGCCCACATCAGAAGGAGTGGCATGCAGGCTTTGGAGTTAAGCGGATTTAATTCAAATTATGTGTCTGGTGCCTGCCAGCAATGAGACCTTGGTAAGGTTTCTTAACCTCTCTGAGCTGGCACCATACCTTCTGCATTGGTTTAATACAAAGGTTAA